GATTTCATCTCCAACACTGAAATGCATTTCTCTAATTGCTGGTCAGAAAGGTGTGTTTTGAATTCACTCTTGAAAAAAATCTAATATTACAATTGTATTTCTATAGATTTCATGTTGATCTTCTGTCATTTGAGGTTTTAAAAATAGAATTGTTTCTATTCTTTGATACTTCTAGAATATCCAGACTGTTGTTAAAAGGCTCAGAAAAAAAATACAACAGCCCTTGAATGAATCATGCTACTGATGGCGGGCCCTAAATAGGCCTAGTGAATTTTTTTATCCGTACAATCTGAGTATTTCCTCATTCCAGAGGGAATATTCCTTGAAGTAATAATATTTGATATTTCTTTTGCATCTTTTTGTGTAGGCTTGCAAAATGTTTTTTGAGATGTCACTTCCTTGTAATACATTGCTAAATAGTTTAGTTTTCATGTGATAGGGTAGGGTAAATGAAATCAGTAATTTTAGAGACACGAGAGAGGCCTGAGGATGCCCAGAAAGTCACTGGCAAAGAGTGGAGAACAGTTACTGTATCCTTCAACCCCTGACCAATACAGCCCTACCAGCTTTGATGAAATATCTGTGTATAGAATCATAGGATTATAGAATCATCCAGGCTGGAAAAGACCTTTGAGATCTTCAAATCTAGCCATGAGTTTAACCTGCTGTGTTCCATTGCTAAACCATCTCCTTCAGTGCTATGTCCACATGTCTCACATACCTCCAGAGATGGACTCCACCACTTCCCTGGACAACCTGTTCCAGTGACCACCCTCTCCATCAAGAAATTATTTCTAATGTCCAATCTAAGCTTCCCCTAGTGCAACTTGAATCCATTTCATTGGGTCCTATAACTTGTCACCTAAGAAAAGAAACCAGCATCCTGCTCACTCTTTTCATGTAGTTGGTGATAGAGAGTGATGAGGTCTCCCCTCAGCCTCCTTTTGTCCAGACTGAACAACCTCAACTCCTTAAGTTGTTCCTCAAAACTTGTTTTCTAGTCTCCTCACCAGTTTCATTGCTCTTATCTGCACATATGCTGGAGCAACTCAATGACTTTGTGGTGAGGAACCCAAAACTGCACAGCATTTGAAGTGCAGTCTCATCAGTGCCAAGTACAGAGGGACAGTCATCTATCCTGTTGGCCACATGGTTTCTGAGGCAAGCTGGGATGCCATTAACCAACTTGGCCACCTGGGCACAGAGCTGGCTCAACTTCAGCCAACTGTAGACCAACATCCCCAGGGCCTTTTTCTCTGGGCAACTTTCCAGTTACTCTACCCCAAGCCCATATGGCTACATGTGATGGCTGTGACCCAAGCGCAGAACCCAGCACTGAGCTTTGATGAATGTCATGTGGTTGGACATGGCCCATCAATCCAGCCCATACAGATCCCTCTGCAGAGTCTACCTACCATCAAGACTATTACCAGTTCTTTTTGTCTCTTTTATATTAATTTAGTAAAGACTTCTCATGTCCAAGCAAAGATTGTCTTGCACAAATCAAAATAAATAAGTTTTTGTTTGATAGAAGCCATGTAAAACAGGAGAAAGAAAGCTGGAATAATTTGGATTTACTTTCCAATTTTGTGAGAAAACTTCAGAGATGTTAATGATCTAACTGTGCCTTAATTACCCATATATTTGGACTTAGATACTTTGGAACAGGCTTTTCACTCCAGCGAGGCATCAGAAGTAGCCATGTAAAAGAGAACAAAAGACAATAGAATAAAGCATTTCTGTATGCACCCAATACTCTGATGTTTTATATTTTAAGAAGCTAATATTAATGCACATTGATTCAAAAAGCTCAAAATATCCCGCAAGAGCTAATCAATCCAAAAGTACTTATGAGCAATAATTCAGTCAGCTGGTGAACTAACTGACTGCTAATGATGAGAGATGAAGACTCTCTGCTTTTGTGAGCGATTAGCTGGATCATCTAATCTGGCACTGAAGATAATTATCTACTAATACATATGAAAAAAATAAAACATGACAAAAAATTATCCCAGCAAGTGCTCATGTATTTGGGGGAGATTTCCAGTAGCTGCTGAGATCATAAAATTAAAGATGGTATTTCTAGAACAGGGACAAAATGAAGTAACTTTAAGCAGAATTAAAGGGATGGAAGTGCATTTGCTTTTTCTTCCTCATCTCACTGAAATTTTATCTCATTGTTAGAGATACATCACGCACCAAAAAAATGTGTCTTTCTCTTCCATGGCAGAATTAATGCAACATATCTTCTTGCACAGTGCCAGAGTGTTGCTTGTGCAGCTTTCCTGCAATGTTGCAAATCTGCTCCTCAGTTTCAGGTGATGGCCTCTGTGTTAGTAGTAGAGAAACACAAGTTTGCTTGTTCTCCAGCTGCAGCTATTGAAAGTGGCTTTGAGTTTTCTCTCATATATTTTATAAGAAGGGGAAAGTTATAGGTATAGGAGGGTTAAGCTGTCTAAGTTGGTCACCACAGGCTATTTATTATCATTTCATAGCAGAGAAAGATAATCTTTGTCTTTAATTACAGTAGATTCCTACACATGACTTAATACTTTAATGGGAACTCACACTAAATCACACAGGTTCATTTGCATCTTTGGGCCTCATGAAAATTTGGGATTTGTTTCAAAATTAATTCCTTTGCTCATTAAAGCATCAAATTGATCCTGGTGTTGTTCTAATAGCAGTTGCAACAAGTACCACCAAAGAATTAAACAAGCAAACAAACAAGACTGTAACTGTTGTGGTTATACATGAAATTCCACATGCAATGAATTTATCATATTCTTATTCAAAACATCTGGAAAAGGTTAGCTGGAAACCTGTGCACTTGGTCAGAGTCTACTTGGACACAATATCTCTTGATAACTGGGTCTCTGGCTTACCCCTACTCTTCACCTACTGGTTGTTTCTGCCTCTTTTCTGTTTGCCCAAACGGGGCCAGACTTGGAGTTTTAAAGTTGTGTATGGGAACTGCTGAATCGTGGCCTGAACCTCTGATTGATCACCTGAGGTGAGCACTGAGTCAGCCACAGGAGCACAGGTGAAGGCAATTCACCTGTGCTGCCGGAAGGGGTGGAGCCTGGCTGCACCTCTCCTAGAGCCATTTAAGAGCTGACTACGGGTGGTGAAGGATTTCTTCTGGAGATCCCCTCCTATGGAGTTTTGTAGTGAGCACAGTGTATGGGTAAGCATTCTATCTATTCTCTTTTGGTATAACAACTGCTTAGCCAAACTCTCTGGTGTATTTCATAATTATGACATCTGTACATTCGCTGCCTATACAAGTTGCGTGGCTTCTACAGCCAAAACCAGGCTCTATGGCTGGTTTTATTTTGTACATTCTTCAGTTTTCCTTATCCAGAGGTGAGTTTCATGGCAGATGAGAATGCTAGCAATGCCCAGAATGAACAACTCTGGAGGAAGGCTGGATCCAGGAAGCTAGTCTGTGAACCATAGGGCAGCTGGGACTTTGTTCAGACCTGAAGAGATCAGGGCTAGGCAGAGGGTGCATTACATGTTCACTGAAACTAATCCCTTCCCAAGGCAAGGGAACAGGAAGTGAAGCACGTGCAGGGAATTGTTTTCATTTAATATTATGCTTAAAACACTTGCCGTAGGTGATAGCACTAAAGAATTCTAACTTAGAAGTGATGGATATGTGACCTGTCCACATCCAACAACAAGAAAACGTTTGTTTGCCTACATGGAGCAAAGTGATCACAATCATCAGTGTGTGAAATATGATATTGTTCTGCTTCATAATACATTTTTCCTAGATACAGACTCTACCTGAAGGATTGGAGTCTTTAGCTGTGCTTCATGTGCTGCAGGTCACCACTACAATAATGGCTGTTGTTTATGGGTGAAAGTGCTGCACCTGAAGCAGCAACACACCAGGGCCTGCTCTGCATTCAAGTTTCTCTGTTGAATGTTTAATTATTGTTAAATTAATTTGAATTATCTGCATCTACTCAGGCAATATATAGGCATCCTAATGCATTTCTGTCATGTCATCAAAGCAATGCTTTGTGTTTAAATTCTGCAGCAGCAATAAACTGAAAAAAAAGCTGTGCTCTTTGAGTAATGCACAGTGTGTCATAAGTGTTATGAATGATGGCACTGCTGTTGGTCTTGCTGCAACTTTAACCAGTTTGTATTAATTTTCAATTTTGTTCTGTAGTTCTTAAATGAACTGCACATTTGCCAGATAATATCCAGGACACAAAATGCTATTTAGTAGAAAATAGCTATAAAATTACTGTATAACTTCCTGCATGTGTGTTTTAATTAATCAAAGAAAATGTTCTGGGTGGAACATGAAAGAATTAATTCTGACTATAAGGTAAAGGATGAAATATTTAAATACTCTGTTAAATAATCACAAGGAAAAAACATGTGGAGGTGAAATAAAAAGCTAGAAGAATGTTTCTTTGGAAGAAAGCCTGAGGAAAAGTTAAAAGGGAAGTTTAATGAAAAAGAGAGTGGGAGGGAAGATCCCAGGTGAGAGAAGATTAGTAACATCATTTTGGGAGTTTTTTCTTTGTTTCCTACAGAATATTCTTATTTGCATAAAACATGGAGATTGGCCCTAAACACAATCAGATTCAATATGATAATATTAAAAAACATGAGCTTTTTTTTTACTGTATAGATAAACTCATAATAAGAATGACAAATTCTTGGTGGATACCAAGAGAAAGATCTGCTTTCACAGGTGAGGGACTTGATTGCTTAATCTGAGATCTAACTGGCAGCAGGTGGGGGTGTAAGGTCATGGAGTGTTCTAGAAAAACTGAATCATTTTCAAAGGTGCTTAGGACTGCAAGAAAGGAAAATTTAAGGTGCAATAATTGTTATAGCTTATTTAGTTCTGAAGCCCAGAGAAATCTGTGGAAATACTTGTATTGTCTTTAACAGTGAATTAAAGACCACTCATTTTGAGTGAGGGCACTCAAAATATTTTTTTACAGGGTTTATTTGTGATGCCTCAGAAGAAAGTGTGCAGCTACCTGGGAGTAGAGAGCTCTTGCAAGTAAACCTGTAGAGTAAGGACTCAGAGTGGAACTGCTGTCTATTCACTGGTAAGCGCTTTACAATATTCTGTTGGGGCAGAAGGAAAGTTAATTCACATTGTGATACAGATTGTATTTATGTGCCTATAAGCATTATAAACTTCAGTACTCTTCCGAAGATGTAGGTAATCTATGTTTGCAGAATGTTGTTGAATGGCTGAGTTGCAAGTATTGCATCTTGGCTAGGTGATGGTGGAGAGATGCAGCTCATTTGCATTTTGTCCTGAAGAAAAGTAGAAAATAGATTTTTGCTACTGGAATGACTAGTCTGGAAATCTATTTAGTTTCAAAACAGTAAATTGCAAGGTCTCATACACTTACATTTTCTATGTTATTAAATACAGATCTGGTCACTTTCTTTCTCAATTAAAATGGAAACTTCTCCAGAAGCTGCCCTAACCTGTAGGCTGTAGAACCATATTTAGAGCTCTGATTTCTTTGGGTTGCATTTGCCGGAGGCTGATTCTCTCAGAGGAGATGCTGGTGCCTACTGGAGAGCTCTAGCAGGTATGGAAGGTAGATGCAGCAAAGCTTTCAGGAATGGAGTATTTTTTGCTTGTGTTTTTTTTTTTTTTTTTTTTTTTTTCCATATGGCAAAGATTCTGAAACTAAAATCTACTTGTCTCCAGGTGCCCTTCATAGTCTACAGAAAGTGTAAGCACCTTCTTGTTGGGTTAATACCTGCCTCTCTGTATAGTTTCCAGAACAGTGGCTGAAAGCAACAATGACTTGAGGGAGTCCTAACTCAGTAAGAGTGCTTATATTGAGATTCCCTGCTGTGGTTCTGAACCTTTGCAAAACATTCTTTAGTAAGAGTGCTGGTGAGCACTTCTCAGGGCACTGTAGATGAGCATCCAGTTCTGATCCTTGTGTCAGGCCTCCTGAATGGAGCCTTTATATATGCTGTTTAGTGAAGCATGGAACCAAAGTGCCAAGCTTGTATCAGGAATGCTATAAGATGGTTTTATTCTCTTAGAAAGGAAAACAAACTATTGCAGAGTCTTGAGCTAAATGCCTTTTACCTAGGGACTATGATGAGAGATGCAGATGCGCTGCTAACCAGGGATGCAAACGTTGTTTATATCTCGAGCATTGCTTTTATTGTTAGAGTCCCACTTCAACTGTGACTTTAGACCTTTGTTTGGAAGGAGAAGACTATGCACTCTGATCTGGAGGCTGACAAACTGAGCAGTTAAACGCTGACTGCTGGGCCTGGCAGACAGCTTATTCAAATTTCAGAATGTTGGCTGTAAAACATAATAGGCTATGTTTTATGGGACCGGAATAGCAAATAATGTAATAAAGCACTTGTCAGAAAATGAAAGGAGAACTCAATGAGTACGAATTACTTAATTAGTGATAAAATGTCTATTATGTGCTAGAAACAACAAACAGAGCAAAATATGAAACTCCTGTCTCTTGTGTGCTGAACGACAATTCTTTTCTTGTCACTGGATTAATGAATCATTAGTTCATAAGCAAATAAAACCTTTATTTTATCAACAAGCTGGTTATAGTGTTAGCCAGAGAATTTTGTTTGACTACGTAATATCAAGTGTACTTTGAAAGATGTTTTTTGAATTTCATTAAAAACTTTTGCGAGATGGCTATTTAGATGATTAATAGATGAAAGGAGATGTGTTAAACATTGGGCATAATTTATTACGTGCTTGCACTCCTCTGCAACCTGCAGAGCAGTCAGTAGGGTGCTGCCACATACAGCCAAGCCCTGTAGCAAGGCTGTCTTCAGGCTTTGATAAATGGAGCATGTTACTCACTGAGGAGTGGGCCTTCCCCAGAGAGAGGGAGGGAAAAGAAGGCTGTTTTTGCATTATGACGCTGCTTTTAATGTAAGACATTTCAAGTGGTCTTAAGAATGAATAAATCAATTAAAAATACAAAACGTCAGCCTTATGCTCAATCTTAGGGAAATGCTGTGCTAGGCTAAAATACAGGAAAAATACAGTGTTGGGGGAGGTAAGGCTGAATGAGAGAACTCTGTATCTTAACATAACTTTTTGTTTCCAATAAACACTGCTATGTGATCAGTGAACTTTGCCTGTATGCAGATTCAGCAAGGAAAACTGAGCAGTAAGGCGATACTCAACAATTCTTATGAACAAGTGTTGGGTAGAGCTCTCCTCTTTTACACAGCGCAGATCTGTACCTCTTTCTTCTGATTTAACTGAGCAAATGGTCACTGAAACTACTGTTCTGTGTGAATGAGAAGAGAACAAGTGTGTGCAGAGCCAGCTGTGTTTCTCAGAGAGAGAGAGATATGAGTAATGCTAGCCTATTGAGAGTACTCTTGGACTGAGCGTTGAAGAAAATGCCTGTTAGTAGATAACATTAGGCCTAAATAATATACATGAAGATAAAGATTGCATCTCGCAATGCTTGCTGCTTATTTTGTTTTTTATTGTTGAAATGCCTGTTACTTCCAGATACAGGCTGGAATTCTTGTGGGGAATAGCTAAATCTTGTGGACATTTTGCAGAGTCATTTGGAGATTACAGCTGGTTAAAACAAGTAGGAATATATTCTGTCACTCATTACTTTCATTTTTATACTAAAAAATATGGCAAATAATGGCTGTCCTGCTTTTATTTGTTTTGTGGGAATGTACAATGCAAATTTCAGAGTATTATGTGAGAACTTCATTACATTAAGCATACGTGGTTTTTTTTCTGAAAAGGTTGACTTTAACTTGCTGGAGGATATTTTTTTTTGCTTTGTCAAAAACAAAAGAGTAGAACAAGAAGTTCTACTCTGTGGAAAAAAATCTCTTCCATGCATGTCAGATCTGATTTAGGAACGTGCGCTTAAGTGAATATTTAAGATATGTTTCAGTTTATCTCCCTCTGGCGAGGGTTTCTTTCATGTGACCTTAGACTTCTCCATATTTCTGCATAGAATTCTTCCATACACTGTGACTTCACTCTAAGTGACTCCAGCAGTAAGAGCTCTTTCGGTTCTCATTCATTACTTAAATTATACTAGGCTACATATCCTTCGTTTAGAATCATAGGCTGTCTATACGTTAATTACAAAGTTACTCAGATTCTTCCTGATCTGCAAAAGGCTTGAACTAAATTCCTTGCCCTGTGCAGTCTCAAACACCAAGCTTGAGTTTCATGTATCCCTGGGACCATTAAGGTCTATAGCTGACTGTACTTTGAGGAGATGTATAAACTATTTCTACTCAAGTTTACTTCAGGGGGGTTGATTGCAGCTGAAAGGCAATGTGATGGTGTTGACAGTGGTGTTTGTGTTCTGCCTGCACTGAATGGGTGTTTGATGTATAATTCTGTTGACTCCTCTGCTGAGGGCTTCATTTCTGACCTTCCCCTCCTGTTTTCGGTTCTGTTTGCCTTGACTTGAAGAGCAGTTTCTGTTTGTTTATCTTTTAGTCTCTTCTGTCTGGGTAACAAGTGTTGTATAATTGTTCAGATGCTCTATTGAAGGACCATGGTACACATGCTTTGGTGTACAACAAAATGCTGCTGCTTATTTAAAGGAATTAAGTCTACTACAAAGAGAATTGAAGAATTTCAGGCTGGAGAAAGAGCAACATGGTAGCCATGTAGGTGAGGGAGTGAGACAAATCAAACTGAAGTACTTGCTGAAAAAGGTCTGGAGCCCTCTCACCTAACACCTTGACACTGTTGACTACATAAAACTTTTGCAGTAATGTTCAGGAATGCCAATAAGAACATCCTTTGTTTCTTATAGTGCAGCTCTATGGCAATGGAGAGATCAGCCAGTGATAGAAATGGGTCCACGAAATGTCCAGGCAGCAGAGATTTTCTTTCCAGATATTTTTAGTGCTGCTTCTGTGCACTGTCTTCAAAACAGAAGGGGCCGAGGGTTGTGAGAGCATAGATTCCTTCCCCCCCCACAGTGACCTCCTTCCATTTAACGGAAAATGAGGTGGAATTTGTTGAATTGTGATCTGAACTCTGAGTTCTGCTGGATTTGATGTTCTCACACAGACTGGCTGACTTCTGATGATGCTGTTTGTCTTCAACTGCCATATGGGTGAGTGGAGGTGGTGGCACCTATGTTCTGATGATCATTGCATGGGTTTGTTACAGATGTGCAACAGTTTAGTACTGGGATCTTACTTGCATTCTTTTTTTTTGCTGTTCTCTGATTGATGACCTGCCATAAATATCACAAACATAACTATTCTACCCTTTTTCCTCTAGAGACAGAAAGCAGATGCTGAAGAGTATTATGTACTGAGGAACTAAAATAAATAAATACGGAAATTGTGAAGGGTGATTTAATATCAGAAAATGGCCAATGGACTACGTTATGAAAAGACAGTCTTTCTTTCTTTATTCTAATCCACCTCATGGGGAACTCGGGTACTTGTCTGCAGTAAACTAAACGTTGTGATTCAGCTTTAAGCTGTCTGGTATGCTTTGTTTCAGTCTAATCTACAGTGAGCAGGTAATTGATGGAGTTTCTTAATTTTTAAGGAAGCAATCATAATGAGAGATAGCTGTTGCTGTCTGACCAAGGGGTTATTCTTCACTCTTCATTTTCATCGAGACACTTGGGTTTTCTGAATAACATCCTGTAGGAAATGCTCCTTTGAAAGCATTCTTAATCATGTTCCGTTTCATGTTTATTCTTCATCTTGATCTTTGTGGGAAGCAAGTCATGTAATGGCTTACTTCTGAGAAGCTGGTATTGTGGCCTGCCCCTTAGGGGTGTCTGGGGAACAGCAGTGAATTACAGTTACCGTTAAACTTCTTGTTACAATGGCAAATTGAAAACCCAAGAATGCAGGAAAAGTGTCTTGCAATTATCTTTGAGTTGCAGATGCACAGCAATGCTTAATTCACTTTTAAATTAGAAAGGAGATGCTCTGCTGAGAAACATGCATGCGTATTTTAGGAATATGATGAATTGCTTAGAAGGTTTCAAGCTAGTGCTTCTTACAATGTCAGCTTATCGGCATACTGTGTTTTAATTAGTACAAAAGATAATTAAATGATTAT